ATAAGAAAGTTTCTAGATCACTACAAAGTTCTATTTTTTTCGAGATCTCACTATTTGATTTCATGAAATGACAATGATTCCATACACATGCACAGTTGAGGATGTGAAAGATGAGAAGACAAGCTCAGACCTTATTCTAGACCTCTGCGTCATCAAGTCGAATTTGAATCGATAATGACCAGTATTTCAAAAGTTCGTTGAAGAATGTACAACTCTGTTGCATTCAAATGGACACTGATTCAAAGATTGTCGGTTTTTAATAGATAGAACATGATTCGCATGCTACAAGAATATGTTTAGTAGACTTGTTATATAAACTTGTAGAAGTAGCTGTCAAGTTTTCCGTAGACTTTTAAAGAGCAGTCTATAAACATTTTTAGGGTGAAAAATGGGATTCAAGTATGAGACTTCTCCTGATTTTCCTTTTTCACATCTACATCCTAGAAAGTGTAATTTTTGGTGATTCCATAAACAACTCTATGTATGACTTTGATGAACACTTCATTAGGATCTTACGTTAGTATCTGATTTTGAAGGTCTATTGTATTGCTTTCTTGAAATTTCATGATAGGTTATACATCATCCTATTGAGTGTCTTTGGTATTTGATACTTCGTTAAGTCTAGCCTCCGTAGCATGCATTAGTTTAAATATATATCTTTCGGTAAAATGAAATGATGGTCAAAGACTGCAGTTAGCCGGATTTTTTTTTCAGAAAGAGAGTTAAATAAAATCCCAAGAATTTTCCAAAGTGAATTATGATCGGGAACTTCTTACGTGCGATGTTTCGTTTGGTGAAATTTTATTGATTGAGAGACATAGAGCTCAAAAGCTCGTCCAAAAAGTGCTCATTGGAAGTACTTATAAAATGTTTATCACATCGTTGTGATAAATCTGTTCAAAGTTATTTTCTGTCACTAATGAAGTATGTATATTGAATAGAAGTAAAAATTCTGAAATAGAAAAAGTTCTTAAAGCTAGCTGCGTTTTACTTGAGTTTCCCATAATTATTCAACATCTCAATAGTGTAGCGATATTTTTTTCAAATGGTTTGCATAAATATGCGTCAAACTCTTGTCCAGATAATCTTTGAGAGCATGTGTCCAATCTGACACCATCGGTTATCACAGTGGGTCGTGGATTTTATGGTCGGGCTTCTGTGTACCCAGAATCACTCACTTTTGTTATACTAGATATTCTACATTTCTCCGTTTTTGTTATGTATTTTCAGATTTTGTGTTTTACAAAAAAAGTTAAAGCGCATAAAAACCTAACCTATATATGAATGTAACATTGGAAAAAACAGGATTTACTTGTTTCTAGATCAAAGATGTATGAAAGTTCCCATATCAATAGCTTTTACACTACTGAGTAGTCATCTGGTAATATCCGAGGATCAGAAGGACAATATGCTGATCCTCAACAAAAAAATTTAGAGAAGTGTCTCACCCATAGGTCGAAGAGCTTGATCCACTTTATGAGAGTGAAATGTTTGTTTTTTATAATGAAATGCAAAAAATTATGTTTACTATAATCAAAATCAAAATTAGAAACTGAACAACATAGACCAATGATGGATCTAATTTTTCTTGGCGTTTTTGTATTTAATGGTGAATATTATAGATCACTAGTATTGTAAGAAGTTGAGTAAGAAAACAGTATCAGAGTTGACTTTGACTGTAAATGTAGTTAGTATTCCCAAATGCATATAGTTAAAATCTTCAAGTTTGTTAAACTCTGGCAAGAGAGTAGCGTCTTGTAGATATAACCTTTAGCACATGCTATCTAGGATGAAAAATGATAGGGAGAGAGAGTGTTATAAGAGTCTTCTTTTTATTGTATGTTATGTGATATCCGTCCAGCAATTTCTTTTTGTGCATCAATTATCTTCAAGCACTTCTTTTAATATAATGACTTAAGTTTTTGCAAATATGATATGTGAAATGATTTCCTATTTTGATTATTCATGTCATATTGTAGAATCTGGCGATATACAGCTAAGCTTTGTCTCAAACTCGATAATAAACAATGGTCAGCGTACAACAGCCATCAATGGTAATGATTTAGCTCGCAAAGTAATCGTATTTTCATTATTTATCACGCTCGTCTTAATTAATTAAATTGAATGATATTCTAGTTAGAATCTGCCTATGGTTTGAAATCAGGCTCACTAAGAGTCACTAATATTGTGATCTATGGTATTAATCCAAATGCTGGTCGTCGTCGTCGTGAACTTTACAGGAAAAAACGTGACATGTACGTCTGCATTTTGCGTGATATTTTTATAATCTATTCTCTATCAATAATTGTGTAACTCTGTTTCAGACCTAGTTGTAATCAGTTTCCATCTGCTCGCTCATATGTGCAATTCACAGTACATATAATTCACGAAAAAAAATGTGGTGTATCGAAATCTTGCAAAGACAAACATGTCAATGATATTAAAGCTCGTTTTAATAATGTCGCTTCAAGCATTTCAGTGATACTCATATTGCCTGACGGAAGCTCCATTCAAGTCGAATTATTTCCTTGCATAAAAACCGGTGATTTTTTACCATTCTTTACAACAAGTACAACAACAACAACTACTACAAGTACGAAGTTTTCTGTTTCATAGATTTTGTTATGCGCTGTCACATAGATTGTCGCTCTTGAATTTGAAGAACATAGTTTTGGAGCAAAATTTTAAAAAATTTGAGTATTCTACAATTTTGTCCTAGGATAGTACTCAGATCTAAAAATTGATCAACGAGTGAAACCTAATATTTAAAGAATATTGAATCTCTCAACTTTTTGCGAATTTCACGAGTGAAATAATCGGAATATATATATTTCAGTGCAGTAGAAACCGCTTGATATTATGCCATGTATTATTCAAAAGCCATTCTCGACTTGCTAGCATTGCAATATCTATTCGCACGCCAAGGATCGTAATCAAACTGTTTTCATAGGCTTTCCTTTTTACATTGAAATTGAATAGAAATAAAAATGCTCACTGACTGAATAAAAGACCTCATTCATAAATTGGGCAACATTTTTGGTGAGAATTTTTTACTGATTGTATCACACAGAAGATTTCGAGTAAAATTGACCTAGAAAACTCCATCAATAAAGTGCTGCAAAAGTCTCTGATCTATCTACTAGAGTTGCAACCAGTAGGCTTTTTTCTTACCGTTACCAGCACCACTATGAAAGGTTAGACCGGATAGAAGTGACAGCATTCCAATATGAGTCATTCTTTCTGTTTTTGATCATGTTACAGTCAAGTCAACACCTTGATTGGTCATATCGGCATCCTAATCACTATAGTAATAATGCAACAATCGTTTGACTTTGTCATTGATTCTGACTAGAATCTTAAGTATCTGAAAATCGCTTAAAAGCCATGCGAAGCACCTTGCAAGTAGTCGATCATGAGTTTTCTCGTTAATGTTGTATCTGGCAACTTATTTAGGAATTTCTTTGTATTTTTATGCAGTACAAATCACCAGATTAATGTGTTCAATCTCCTCATGAAAGCTATATCAGAAAGATCCATATCCCGAGATAGTATGAATGTTTTAGAATTATCCGTATAGACTTTCGTCAATCTTCAAGAAGTTTGGAACTTTTATTTTTCCTCAAGATAATGAAGATGGACAAATCGGTGACTGGTCACAGCATAGATCAGTCTGAAAAAGGCAATTGATCCCAAATACTTGAGGTTGTTTCGTTCATCTGCCGTCGAGTTTATTCCCCTCGAAAGGTGCATCGTTTTACGTACAACGTATTGTAATAATTTCGAGACTGATTGAAGGCATGTCTTATTTCTATTCTAACCCGAATAAAAGCTTCCATGCCATGAAAATGCGAGCTGAAATCCAGTAAAGAACTCCTATTGCTTGAGAGATGTTTTCAGTTCAACACATATCAATCGAAAAATCAACGCACACACCGTATTTCGTACTCTGAACGAAGCGCATATACCATTTAATTCTACTGATTGAATGGGTGTGGGTTTATGATCTTTTCATTATCCGCACCTATCCTCTTATTTCTAAAAAAATAAAACAATATCGATCTCCTAAAAAGCCGGCTAGAAAAGTTGATGTATGTTCTTTCTGTAGCAGCATCAGTTGAACATGTGTTTTCTCAAAGTGATCTTTTAATAAGATCTAATACTTCATGTTTTACATCAACTAATATTTGAATTTTAACATCTTTAAAGTATTTTTATTGATTAATCTAGAGTAGTTGCATCAATTTATTTGATGGGTAACTTATTTTGGTTTTTTGCGCATCAAAACTAGGAACCCGGTATCATGCAATGTAAAAAATTGTTGGTGGAGTTTTTTTATAACCACAAACACAGGAGAATGAAAAAAATTGCAAAACCAAAAACTTGATTTGACTCGACTTGAGAAATGCTTTGACTCGCCCAGCCCTGATTTCTAAGATATAAGTGAAGACGGAAAGTTTCGTGTTCGAAAACAGACATGAAATCGACTTTCTTGAATTCCAACCAAAATCAATGATCCATGAACGACGTCTGATAAAAAACCGCTTTTTTGACGCGTCATTATTCTGGATTAGTGGTTTAAGACTTTTTTAAATACTTAAAAGAAATGATTTTTCTCTGCCCTTCATCGGTTTGTTTTATCCNAAATTATATTTTCGTGAATTAAAAGAACCATTATTTGCTCGAGATATGTTTGATTCATTTATTTCATGTATCAGTAAGTTAAATTCTATAATTAATCTAAATTATTCAACAAAATTAACATAACAATGGTTTTTCTGATTTTGACTCTAGAGTCAATTATCTTTAAATGACCGAATATTCTGTACTAAGACTTTTGCCCTCTACATCAATTTTCAGATCTATCGGGACTTAAAAATTACTACTTTCGAATTTTTTAGAAAGAAAATGTTCTTTCAATCCATCTATGAAATTTTATTGTCTATTAAAATTAATACTTAGATATTTGGTATTATAGAAAATAAAAATCAGAAAAACCATTATTATGTTAATTTTGTTGAATAATTTAGATTAATTATAGAATTTAACTTACTGATACATGAAATAAATGAATCAAACATATCTCGAGCAAATAATGGTTCTTTTAATTCACGAAAATATAATTTTAATACACCAGCAACTGAATTCATTTCTCGACCTGTTATATTAACTAATGGATCTTCACCTTTTTCAAAAGCATCTTTGAATTGATTTATATCAACTTGTGCGCCGGGTACACGGAAAATACCCTTAATTAAAAGAATAAAAAAGAAAAAAAAAATTAATTTTATATTTTAATGAAAATATATATACTTGATTATGTAAACCAATTCGATTAATAGCACTAACACATGATGAAATAATTAATGGAATATATTGTTGTGTTACTTGAATATAATCTAATAATTTTCCACCAAATAAACGTGGACGACCAAGAATTGGAGCACGACCAATTTGTTTAGGTTTTATCGGACGACTTATAAGACTATATTTCATAAAACGAAATTATCATTTAAAAATTATTCAGATTAAATAAGAAAAAAAACAAAAACAAATGCATCTTGTTTGATAAATAATGATATGAAATTATCTTTTATGCATTAAGATAAGAATGGAAGAAGATATGAGATATCTTTTATCGATTACTATTAATATATCCTATGGATTGCTTAGGAAATCTAGATTTATAAATAAATTCTACTAAGTCAAGAGATATGAACTGGTTCTACTCGGGAACAGTAGGGAAAATAATAGGAGTCAGGAAGCGGAAATTCGCTGACCGATTTTCTTCGGTTACAGTTAATTCCAAATAGAACTAGAAAAATTTGACTATCAGATTCGATCACAGGATTTCCGCTTGCCAGTTCATACTATATTCCCGAGATTTCCGACCGGAGATCGATGGATCCGGATACCGGAAACATTGGCTTAAATCATTTTTTAACAAGCATAAGTACACCGAATAAAAAATTACTCATCCAATAATAATTATATGAAAACAAAAAAAAAAAATTGAAATTATCCTCAATGTATTTTTTTCAAGATCCATTTGTAAAATATTTCATACTTATTATCTTCAGCAGCACCAGCTGGTGGTGTAGCACCTAATGCTTTTTGCATAATATCATGGCGTGCTTGTAAACGTGAGATTAAATTACTGCTTAATGTATATTGTTTGAATTTCTATTAAATACAAAAAAAATAAAAAAAAAAATGTATGTATATGTAAATAAAATATCTTTTTTTTTAATACCTCAACATAATAATCTTCGATTTCTTTTCGTGCATTTTTTGAATTATTTTGTGGTAAATTAAGATCTTTAAATAGATCAGAAACATCAGAATTTTTTGTAGTAATATTTTCCATAAGTGATTGTTCAGTAGCTTCAATTGTTTTAAATATCTATCATATACATAAGAAAATACATTAATCATGTCGGAAAAATATCTTTCTATTAATAGTAATTTTAAAAATAGTAAGCATAATTCAATGCCTTCTGTTACACAAAGAAATTAGTATATTCGACATACTGTACCATTTTAGCCTGTAAATAACACTATTTCAAGCAGAAAATGTACATTAACATATGTTTCTATGACATAAAATCCATCGATTCTCGCATACTATTATTATCATAGTGAATATTAGTACGGCATGAGTTAGTAGAACTGATAGAATTTTTGTTTTTTTCAAGCAGATTAGACCAGCTGATGTCAAATAACGTCTGTGCTTTATTTTGCCTTATTATCTTCAGTAAAGATATACTTTTGTTTGATCTATGCTTATTTCAAATACTTACTTAACCCTATTCAAAGGTTTCTAAGTTCGCAAAAAACAAAGAGATACTACTGTCAATCGAAAGATAAAATAACCTATAAAAGTATGATTTTTTTTTTACTGAGAGCAAGGTATTACCGAAAAAACCAAAACAAAAAAAGTTTCAACTTGAACTCTTACATAAAGACACTTTCGTTTTTGTTGAAGCTTTCAGGGCCATTAAACGATTATTATTCTTTATCAGTAGGCCATAGATCCATTTAAGCATGTCTTAGTCTTATCGAGATCTACTTGTAATTATAATATAAAATCGAACGGCATGCAACAGTCCTCATTAGAGATTTTTACATGTTAGATAATGCTAGCAGTTGGTTTAATTTTCTCAATAGAGCAGAAAATTTTCTGATAGGTTTCTATCGAAAAAAAAATGATTTGGAAACAACGAACTGTCGGAAACTTCTGACAGTTACTACTTTGTATAATAATTAGCATAAGCATTTTAACTATATATATGTTAGCCTAAAGCAAATTCTGTTCCAAACAATATGTTTATATATATTAACATCAATTATCTACTGATTTGTTGATGTTTGTTTTTCAAAGAAAGATTCCAAAATATTGATTATACAAAATAAAAAAAACAAACCTCATCATTTTCAGTTTTTAATGAAGCAAGTCGATTTTGCATTTGTATAAAACGTGATTGCATTTCATCACGTATTAATACTTGAGCATTAACAGTTGATACTTCATCACCTTTATGTGGTTCAAATTTAATTCTTTTCGGTATTGTAAATATTGATGAATAATATTCTAAATATTTTTGTTTATCAACAATTGTATCTAAATCTGCAATTGCTCGATTTAATGTTTCAATTGTTCTTAAAAAAAAATATATATTTAATTAAGAAAAGAAAAAAAAACTAAGCCTACATTTGTCGACCACGTTTAATATTTTCTTGTGCTGATAAATACATTTGAATACATTTTGCAATTGATGTATGAAAACCAAAATTCATACAATCAATTAAATCAGGTACATCATCAGAACAATATTTTTGTAGTGCAGCATTCACAGATTCAATTGTCATTAAATAATCATTACGTGCTTTAAATGCTTTTACTTTTGTTTCAGTATATTTCATTTGTCTCTATAATAAATAAAAATTTCTTTTTTTTTTCTTAAGAAGTTTTCTAATAATAGTCTGGACTATTTTGGGACACGATATAACCAATGAGAAGTTTGTCCCATTAATCGAAGCTATGCTACAGATTCTTTCATCAAACAAAGATACCCTCTATATTGTCTGGAAGACTCTATCTTCGTTCTAACCAAGTATCTAGACTGTTCCGAAAGTGAACATTAATCTCTACATCTCATTGTGACTACTGTCGAAATCCCATCTTCCACTTACAATATTTGCTTTATCTCTCAGCATGAAAGATCATTCTATAATTCAGCGGACTTTAGCATCTAGAAGTCTAGTTTTTGAATATTAGAAGAATTTCTCAAAAACTCGATTTTAAAAATAAATTGTAGCAAAAACTTAGGCGGAAATACAAGGCCATCTTTGCGGAAGTGCTGTTGATTTCCTTAATAGAGAATGATAGACTTTTATTCTAGGGAAGGTTATCAAAGATACAAGATCATTGTTTTTTCTATTTGATAAAAAGCAACTTTGAAAAACTATATCAGTTATTTGGTATACGAACCGAACTATCGGTTCCAACGTTAACTATTTCTTGAAATCGCTCGCTTCTACTGATCTCACTCTCAATCAAATCATCATTATCATAATTTTCATTGATTATTATAATAAATCTCGAAATTTTTCAAGTCATTTTATATATACTTTTTCAACACGTTTTTCCATAGTTTTTTGTTTTTTTGCACTTTTTATTTTGGCTATTTGTTGTAGAATATTGCTTAATTTTTGTTCAGCTTGTTTACTTTCACTTTGATATTGATGATAAGTTTTCATTGTCTAAATAAACATTTTTTTTTTTTTTTAGATAAGATAATGAAAAATATTATTACTTACACTTTTTAATTCATTAAGAACCTTATATATATCTTCATGACTGGCTAAGCCAACTGATTTACACTATCGAAGAGAAGAAAAAAGAAAATATTTTAACAAAAATATATTTTCTTTTAATTTACTTTCATAAACATTCGTCTTGTATCTTCAGCTATTTCATTAAATTTATCATACATATATTTTCCACAAATATCAGACATAATTGTATGATATTTAACATGAGTACGAGTATCTTGAACAATTGTATCCCAAAGTTTATAAATAGATTGAAAGATCCAAGTTTCTCGTCTAATTGTAAATGAAATTAAGCAAAAAAAAAAGAAAAAAGTATATTTTCTTTTACTATACAAAAAATATTTTACCGTGCTTTTTGTGCTCGATGTCTTTGACCAATTTGTTTATGTAAATTATCTAAATTTTTTGCATAATCAAATTCAACATCAGAACGACGACGAAAATATTCTTGAACTTCACTAAGAATTGATAATTGTGTTTCAATACGTTGTTCCAAACATTTTAATTGTTCATTTAATTGAAAACGAATGTCTAATTACATTAAAAAAAAAAAAAAAAAATTTCTATATACATAATAGATTCAAAAATAATAACAAAATATTTCATACAAAATCTATAACGATCATAATTTTTTTTTACTAAACTTAATTGTGAATTTGTTGAACGAGAAAAATTGTTTTTTGTTGATGATGCTACACCACATGTATAAGTCATCATTGTTTAAAAGAAGAACAATGTTGAATTTCAATGTATCACTCAATGAATATATCGATTGTCGTCTATTAAAATAATCGCAAACATTTCGTTCATTGCTTTCTTTCCCATATATATATGAAAGAAGAACAATGTTAAATTGCAATGAAGCAAACAAGTTCAATATTATTGGGCGGTCAACTTTCTCGTTCTATTTCGATTTTGTTTATGAGTTATTATTCATTTGTAAATGCCTTTCATTTTTGAATCAAAAGAAAGATATAAATTATAAAATATGTAGATAATATTTTGAAATATATCTTATGCAATGCAAGAAAAAAAAAGAGAGTAAGAGCATCATTATATAGAAGGAAAGAAAGAAAGAAAGAGATGTACTGGAACTTCTCAAAGATAACATCCGTTAAAGTATTAATGCGTGATTAGACAAGCTCTTAATAAGATCTTTCAATAAATGGCTTCAGGCTTGTCATGTCATGTCATTAACTACTTTCTCTTATAATCTCTGGTATTTATTTTTTTTCCTCTTTTGCTATTTTCTATACACAAATCGATCTCATATTTCTTGTTCTTTTTTTTTTTTTTTAAATTTTATTCTTGACTTATTAACTCCTATTCATCATCATCATCATCAATATGGTCTATTCATTTCAATAGCCGACAATAGTAAAGTATTATATCGCACGTACGATTGTTGATATACTATATCCTACATATACGTAGATACTTAATCAAAGGATGGATGATTTGTACATATTTGTATATGTGCTTTGCCTTTTCGAACATGATATGTTTTTCTTTCTCATACATTTATTTCAACTACTACTGGTATATTAAAGAAAAAGAGAATAAAATATTTTAAAATTGATTGAATAATTAGTTGAATATTTACAAAGAAAAAGAAATACCTTTAACAATTTGATCAAATTCAAATAAAATTTGTTTATTTTTTTTATAATATTTTTCTATTGGTTTATCATCATGAAATATTGCTGGTGATGATGTATTAGGTGTTAATGACGATGCAGTTGATATTAATACTGATGGTGGTGGTGTTGTTACAGGTTGTGATAAAACCGAAATTAATACAATCGGTTGATTCTTAAGATTTGACTCTATGGTCGACATTACATCTAGAAGAAACAAAACACGAACGACTGATAAAAGTCATTATGTCGCTCAATCTTTTTCTTTTCCCATTATGTCGTTTGATTATCAAGGCAAAGAAAAATAGACACGATAGTACTGTCAGATAAATACAAGACAGACAAGAATAGACAGACGGTGATACCCTATGGAGATTGTTCTATAGAATGAGAAAAAAAGAAAGAAAGGTGGTAATGAGTTCTTGTTTCTTGTTTTCTGAATCGACTAATAAATAATAATAACGAAGAATAAGCAAAGAAAATCTCGATACAAGAAAAGAAATATTCTCTGATATCTTCATTATGTAAAATATTGCCTTCAACGATATTCTTGATAAGCAACTGATGGAAACCGAATAAACAACAACAAAATAACTAAGTCGAAACAACAGAATAAATAATAAGACACATCGTTCTTCTTTTTTTTTTTTTCTCTTGCCAATGCTGTCGTTCTCATCTTTAATGCAATTGGCATACGTTATTGGACTGTACCATGTCTATCTGCACCTACGTTATATGCCAATGACAAAGACTAACATCAAGGACAAAATAATTGTCGTGATGATGTCAATAACTAGCATGCATAAAAGACATTCTGACTTTTATCTATCATTATTTAATTAAGAATAAATGATGTTAATCAAATAGGTTAAAATCGATATATTATTATATATAAATAAAAAAAAAGAAAGAAAGAAATAAGATAAAAGAACGAAGAATTTTTTTAACATATGAACAATTGGATAAACATTTATTAATACTCAATAAACAAAGAAAGAAAAATATTAATGAGATTTTTTTTTTTTTCATTCATTTTCCTTTTTTTTTTTTTCTGATTCAATAAATCAAACAATAATGTTACATTGATTCGTCAGAAAAATAGCCATCATTATTTCATATTGTTTCCAAAACATATGTTTTTACTACTGACATCTATCAATCATGGGAAAATCATATTGTAGTTTTGATAGATAATTTAATTTCAATAATTTTATTAAGAAACAATATTGTGTTGACATTCTCATTGAAGAGGGAAATTTTGTTAAATTAATCGCTATGTAAATTTTTTTATTTAAAATTATCTCAAAATATTATTGTTATTTATTATAGGAAAAAGCATAGATAACTGTATGATATCAATTAAAAAATCCTTAGTTGATCGAATATGATACAAACCTAATCGATCATCCAGTAAGAAAATAGATGTGAAAAAATTGATAGATAATCGTTTTATCGCTATGAAAGATAACAACAAGAAAAAATAGCAAAGAAGAAAGTTTATTAATGATATAATATCAAGAAACATTTTTGAACTAGTTAATTGAAGCGTCAGCAGAAATGATACTGCAAAAAAAAACAGTATTTCCCTATGTTATTCGTTTAAAAAAAAAGTTGTATAGAGAATCACGTGAGAGTTTAAAAATTAGGCGATATATAAGAAAGTATCTTATCATTGTAATTAAAAATTCAAATGAATGTCTACTAGTTTTATTGAGTAATAATAAATAATTTTCCTTTAATGGGTGTATCCATCCCTTCCTACTGTTCTAGCTCATGAATCCATGTCATCAATAAAACAAAAATGAACCCATCTGATTAAATCAAATAAGAGATATTTTAATATATTACCGTATACTTATGATCTGTTACGTAATTTTAATGAAATATCTACTTGATTCTTTATTATTTTTTTTAATGAACTATTTATATAATTTAAATCAATTTTTCATTGTCGACTGTTGAATTTTCATATGTAATGTAATATTTATTTACACATATAGAAATGATTGATCGTTCAATTTTGTTTCCTAAGTTTAGATAAAATATACATTTACATTAAAATATAATTTATTTTTAGATTGATTATATATGAATCATTCAAACAAGAGATGATTAATAATTTATTTTTTTTGTATTCAGTTTGTTTGAAAAAAAAGAAAATCGATAATAGATAAAGAATTATAAGATAATAATAATATTTATTTATTATATTTAATTAATAATCATATATAGTTATACAATTTTTTATCCATTTTATGAAGATAAAGTAAAACTTACTATTCGTATATTGATTAATTTTATATTTAAATAGAACAAAGAATGTAATAGAATATACAATACTTTGAAGAATTTTATATCAAAGACTATAGAATACAAAACAACTACTTACGAATATTTATGAAATATTCAATTGTTGTGTTCACATTCTAACACAAGTACTAATGTGATAATTTCTTCAGCTGTTTCCTACCGATCTCAGTGATTCTTCGCTTTTAGATACTACATAGTTTTCTAATAAAAAACTCTTAGAGGCATAAAAAAAAATGCATTTTATACATACATTATTTATTCAAAACTTCTGAATTTGTTTTTTTAGGAAAGCTAATTTAGTTGACTTTTTTTTCTATATATATAGAGTTTCTGATTAGTCAAATCTCAATTTCTTTGAGAGTTGTTTTTAGAACACAATGCAGTATCCATAGACAAAAAAAAAATCATTGAAATCGAAACGAAAGCAGCTGAAGAAGTTCTTTCGTAAGTAATGAATAAGCACAACATTTTCTAGCATGATGAGTACATACCTATGAGCGCATCAATCGAGGGTTGTCATTGCTTGATGATATATGTGTTTTCTTCTTTCGGATACATGCGATCTTACTTAAATTGATTGAAAGACACATATAACCTCTTCAATCTATCAAATGTAAACAATATGGTAATGTCAGTAAGTATGCATAAACGTATTATGTCATTTATGATTTTTTTTTTTTGGTAATGCAAAGATCAAGATGTATAATTGGTCAAAAGATTGAGTATATTTTGCCAATGGTAATTACTGTCGAATGTATTTAGGTTAAATATTCAAATTATCAATTATTTAAGATTTGTTTTTAAAATTTAAAAACAAATATACTAGTATTATTAATTATGTAATGATAGGTCGAAATGTAAATATGATTTAATTACTATTCTTAATGTATTTTGTCTTATGAAGTGTTATTATATGTATTAAGATTTCTTGAAAAATGTCGAATAAAATAGAATTTCGAAAGATGTTCTCTCATTTTATTCTCACTTAACTTTTAATTTCATGTAAATTATTTAAGATTCGTTTACTTCGATTGTTCTTCTTTTTGATCAAAATGAAGGAAGTTTTGATAAACTTCTAGAAGGACTTCCTATGTTAGTTAGAACGAGTTAAGGATTTTTTCTTGTTAACCTTTTCACGGTTCTTCTACTTCATTATCATGAATTTTTAAAATAAAATATTAAATACAAACACAGATTATACACTGTTCGAGAGTTGTTTTTGCTTTCGTACCTAAAGCAAGATATATGGGTTGATTGGTTCTGATCGGAAAACTCAGGAAATTGGTAAGAACTTGGAAGCAAGAATCTGATCGCCGAAATTGTACTTCTAAGTATTCAGGTCGGAAGTGGCATCTTTCTGAAAACTCATGGATTCAGACACTGGAATTATTGACTTGAGTGGTCTTGTTTTTTTTTCTTTTAGAATTTCAATTTTTCGAGCTTTTCACATCAAACTAATTTACTTATTGATATGATTATCAGTACAATTTAAATTCAACAGTATGACGAGACGCAGAATTGTTGTTCACCCAAATAATGAAACCTTAGATGAACTGTTTTGGTCACTGACACTTCGAATTCTGTTAAGATCATAGTAATAAATCTTTTAAAAACTGTATCTTGAACGCTATTTTTTTCTCAAAAATTTCCTATAGATCATCAATAAATCATAAAGGAGGGAAGCGCGTTAAGTAATGATATTAGCTCTCTCTTGAAATTAACTTTCGTATTTTTCAAAGAGTCAATTCNCTCAGGAAATTGGTAAGAACTTGGAAGCAAGAATCTGATCGCCGAAATTGTACTTCTAAGTATTCAGGTCGGAAGTGGCATCTTTCTGAAAACTCATGGATTCAGACACTGGAATTATTGACTTGAGTGGTCTTGTTTTTTTTTTTCTTTTAGAATTTCAATTTTTTCGAGCTTTTCACATCAAACTAATTTACTTATTGATATGATTATCAGTACAATTTAAATTCAACAATATGACGAGACGCAGAATTGTTATTCACACAGATAATGAAACCTTAGATGACCTGTTTTGGTCACTGACACTTCGAATTCCGTTAAGATCATAGTAATAAATCTTTTAAAAACTGTATCTTGAACGCTATTTTTTTCTCAAAATTTCCTATAGATCATCAATAAATCATAAAGGAGGGAAGCGCGTTAAGTAATGATATTAGCTCTCTCTTGAAATTAACTTTCGTATTTTTCAAAGAGTCAATTCAAATAATAGGATTCGATTGGAACTCAAACTAGGCAATTAAACCTTATTCCAACTATGTACAGTTAACTCAAAACTCAATATTATCTATCTCGTACAATGTCATGCTATGCTGTGTTCATATGGAAAATTTTTCTAACAAAATATCGTTATTCTCCTTTTCCCGCTAAACGGCATGGTTAGATTGTTTTTTTTAAATATGTAGAGGCTCATGACGAAATTTTCTACCTAGTATACTTTAAATTATTAATCTTTCAATGGTTTTTTCAATATTGAAAACAGTGGTATTGCTGCTATGCTGACTTTAATTTGTAGCTAAGTAGAAGGAAATCATTTTCATTCGTGCTAAAATATCCTTTTCGATTGATCTATAATCGAGTTTGACAAGAATAACTAGGCTTTCTAAAAAAAACAAGAAATATATATTTGAAAATAGCATATAAATCTAAGTCGATCTGTATTTGTTAAAAAGTCCTCCAATAACATTTGTTTTTTGGATAAAAATTCACTTCAGGTTTCTATCAGGGTCATGTCACAAAATAAAATTAATGAGCTAAAAGAATTACGCTGTATTTTTGGACGACAAGGAAAGGATAATAAAATAGTTCGTTAGCATTTTTCTTTATCTTCTCAATAATAAAGGTGCAACAAATCTACAACTGATTGGGAATAGCTTTGGTTTAGGTTTGTTCTTCAACAGCCTAAAACCCGCTGATCTGATAAGATAAATTATCAGAAACAAAGTTCTACTTTACTAGAAGAGCGAAGAAATTAGAAAATAAATTTTTGGGACTTGCAGCGAAGTCCGTAGTATTTGGATTGGATCTTGAATCTCAATTAACAAAATCAAAGAGAAAATAACACACATAAGTAGTAAACTATAACAAGAATATATATAGTGAGAAGAGAAAGAGACACACAGATCAGCACAGAGAAGGATTGTGTTGTTCTGTTTTGAGTTCGATTTATTTCTTCTTTGCGAGCAAGAACAAGAGATTGTAGATGTAGGTTTGAATATATTCTTCATCCACATTCATGCTGAAGTCAATCAAATTTTAAACTGATGAAAGTTTCATTGATCTTATTGTCATTTTAATTCGAAAGAAAATACTTTTGATTTACTAGTCAAACAATAAGATTGTGGACGCCATTTTATTATAAAAACATAAAAATTCATTATGCAGATGAAACATAGATCGCTGATTAGATCAATTCAGTCGTCAACAAAAAAAAAAACTTTCGAATAAACGGTGTCGACAAAATAAAGTCGGCAGATGTTCTTGACGATGAAGTATCTGTCGACAAAATGTCTTTCGACTCTATGCCTGTCGACAAAATGTCTTGTCAACGAATGATATACAATTCGAATAAAAATTATTAGAAGACTTTATAACACACATAGATCAACTTAAATTTTTATACTGATTGTAGAACTTACCATAGTTTTAAAAGAAATTCTTATTATTCTTGCGAAATTCGATTAGAAATCTGTCGAAAAAAGACATTATTAGTACGTATAAAGATGATTTGTTTCAATGAATTATCTTAATTAGAAATTAAAATCAGCATTGTAAGAAAAGTGTTTTGTTAAATATTGGAAAAACTATATATTAAATGACTTATAATTTTAAAATGAATCATTGCTTTTAAAGCATGCTACGTAGGTAGAATATTTTGTCATAAGTGTCCTCGAATTATATATACAAGCTAACAATCGTCTTTGAAAGAAAAAGAAAAAGAACAATATTTTTTGTTCTACTCCTACATGCTATATTATAGAGAAAAGAAAGAGATTCTATTTGATATATTAGCCAAATTAAATGGGCTGAAGAACATAAAGAAATTTTTGCATATATAAACACTGTGTAATATAACGTTATTGGAGATCGATAATGTTGAGTTTTAAATCAACCACCCACAATCCAAATAAGGTAAACTCATCTAATTTTAGCTTCAATGTACTTCTCGTATCTGAATTGACTATTAGTAAAATAGGAAAGTCTACTTTAAGAGACGGCCAATTTCATCGCTTAATGACTTCCATGTTCTTTAACAAACATTATAAAAATATCAGAAAAATCTTCGATATTCAAATGACATTATTCTTTGTCATAGTTATAAGAAAGAGAGATCTAATCACGGTCGCAGATGATCATAACTGAAAACTACTTTATAGACTTCTAATTTTAAGTCATATTATGATTAGTTTGAAAAGATAGTTATATAGATTTCTTAATGTGCATATGTATTGTTCGACTACAAAAAGAAAAAGAAATTAATTTCATATATTCAATAGAAAGAAGTATTTTCTTTTGAAGAAAAATCTTGCTTTATTTTAATAAGTTATTTGCATGCTATATCATTTTTTTTTTCTTCATCTCAAGTATTTTATTAATCTCATGTTGATTATTATTTTTTAAATATAGGTATGATAAATTGTTTTATGTACTCATAATGAGTATTCATTTAAAAAGAAAAATTAAATTGTTTTTTATTATTTACTGATATGAATAATTGAAAATCATCTGAACAAGTCGGAAGTTATTTTCTTTTAGCTGTTGTCTTTCTTCTCTATAGTTTCATTTCCTGCGGAGTAAAGAAAAAGAGATCAGCACGAGTGTCAGTAAAAAATGAAATACAATGCAACAACAAGAATCAGTTGATGACATGAATAGACCACATAAGATGAAATTTATAATATGCTGATATAACATGCCATGATAATAGTGATGTAGTTTTATTCTTGTTTTTTTTTTTTTGTTCTTTTAATCGGAAAAATGTTGAAGTAAAAATGCGTACGAAGAAAAACAAAATCACGATTTTCTTTTTTCTATTTTATCAATCCTCGCTCGTCAACTTATTTTCCTAATGACGGACAAGTCACAAATGCCTGCAGTGTTTTATATTTAATAATGAGTTACATGTCTTTTCTTTTTCTCTTCTCTTCTTCATGTCTTAGAAAATTACTTATCTTTTTATTTGCTCTGCACATCTCTACATAGACGACAATACCAGTCAAGAAAAAAAAAAAAAAAAAAAAAAAAGAGGAAAAAAGATTTTATATTGGAATTGTCAGTTCGCAATTATCTTTTGTTGTATACATAGGCATTTATAAAATTTATTAATATGAATCAATCAAATAATTTTTCACAAGAAAACATAGAAAATTCTTCAATGACAACAATAAATATTCTTAGTCGTCTACGTATAGCTACTGAACAAGTACGACAGGTACAAACAAGTTTAAGTCAAAATGGTGAGTAATAATGATTCCTTTCTTTTCTTTTTTTTTTGTGATTGTTTGGATATTCGATGTAAATAAATTTTCAATACATCGGAACAAAAAAAAATCCGACTTTCGAATGATTTGAAGTGTTTTCTTAGTTTATTTTTAGGTATGTTAGAACATGTAGAACTATTGGGTAATGTTGGTAAAGAACTTGATGGTATGTTTACATGTTAACATTCTTTTTTTTTGTTATCTATAACAAGAAAAAAGAAATACTAAAGATTATGTTATTTTTAATAAGATAAAGAAAACAGCTGAGAATTTTTCTAGAGATTATATCATATTATGATGTATCTTAAATTGCATAGCCAAAAGAAATGATCTTTTGTGTTATAGTAATTAGACACTATCTTTGATTAGTTTTTCTTTGACGATCTAATACTTATTAATAGGTTGTTGAGTTGTATAAGAAAAGTGTCAGTTTTTGTTTTCTTTAAGATTTCTGTATTTGACATATGCCAGATACTTAATATATCTTTTAATTAACTAAAAGAGAATATTTGAATGTTTTGAGTTCTTTTTTTATATTTTATTTTCAATTCTCAAGGAATTCTTTATAATCTTGTTGATGTTCTTTCTGATGATACACGACAAAGTGAAATAAATATAACATCACATGATGGACAAATAAGTAAATGGTTAGAACAAACATTTTCATCTAAACAACAACGTACAATAACAGCAACAGGACGTTTTGAATCTATCAAAGCTATTATTCAAGCATCATCATTTGTTAATGCATTACAAAGACAATTACGTATGCATACAAAAGAACCTATAGCTGTGATATTTAATTTACCAGTTGATATAAATCAATTAAATCTTTGGTCATTTAATATGATGGAATATAATGATCCAATTACATTTACTATTTTACTTCTATTTGATGCACATGATATTATATCACATCATCGAATTGATATTGATGTATTGAAAAATTTTGCTCATGCACTTACTGAAGGTTATACAAGTATGAAGAAATATAAATAAATATCTAAATAATAATAAAATAAATATTTTATTTTATTTAGAATTTCGAGCAGCTTATCATAATGATTATCATGGAGCTGATGTTCTTCAAACAACACATTGTTTATTAATTAAAAGTAATTTATTAAATATTTTTACACAACTTGAAATAACTGCATTAGTAAGTAAAGAAAATTTATTCATATCAAATGAAATTTTTTTTTGTTTGTTTATTTTGTTTTGAATAGTTATTTGCTGCTGTTATTCATGATTTTGAACATCCAGGTTTAAATAATAATTATCTTGTTAAAACAAAAAGTGATTTAGCTTTGATTTATAATGATTTTAGTGTTCTAGGTAAGAACAAAAAACTTTCGAATATTCATCAATTTTGTTCATTAATCTATTTAAAGTAGAAAAAATTTTTTAATAATTGACACGATAAAGAATCGTTCCCAGTTGTTTTTTTTTTTTTGATCATTTATTGTCCTCGAAAAGAATATCCAGGGTTATTCTAAAACTCTGTCTAGGAATACTCTAGTTTTCTCTGGGGACTACACTTTGCAACATAAAAATCTCTAACAAAAGTTATTAACATTATTCCTACGAGATTAAAATGTAAGACATGACACAGCTGTTATTGTTAATTGCAGAAAGATTATTTTAGAGTATATTTTTTCATCATCGTTTTACTTAATATTCCAGAAATGTAATAAAGAATTTGTTTATATTTTAAAACGAGACATTATTCATATAAAGTTCGTGATCGTATATTAACAATGTTTGTTATAGACTAATTTTAAAAATATTTTTAGAAATATCATAAACTATAACTCTTGAGAGAAACACTTCAAGTGTCAAATCGTTTTTTTTTTTTTTTTTTGATCGAGACGATATGATACTTGATGAGATTTACTTCATTAGAAATAATTTTTTTTAGCTTTTTATTGATAGAAATACACAAAAGTTCAGAGGTAAAATAAGAGTGTAAACTTTCCGTACCCTATAAAATTAGATGGAAAGATCAAAAACGAAAATAATCGATCGTACTTCTGAAGAATACTTTTGAACATCTTTGATAAAAATTTCAGTCTGATCAGTGGTTCTCTTTTCAAGAACGATAAATGATCAAACAAAAAAAAAAGAAGAAAACTAGCCGAAGAGTACTATTACGGTAATCAAATAAAAAAAAAAACAATTAGTAACAGAAATCAAGCATTCATCTATAGCTAATAACACATATTATAACAATTAGATTTATTTTCTCATCGGTTCAAATCGTCAATTTCTTTTTTTTTTTTTTTTCTTTCGTATTTTTCTCAATTATATTGTTGTTAATATCATTGTGAAATCATACTGTATGACTCTTGAAAACAAACTTAGGTTAACAATTTCACATGATATCATGTTATATTCATGCGGAAGACGAATTGAAGCTTATTTCATGGCTAAATGATCATCTAGTATATGTTATATATGGAGCAAATATAAATCGAAAATATTTTACACTTATGTTGAGTTGCCTCAAGGCAATAGTTTTGAGTCTATATCTGTTCGATGTCTATTATTATGATCTTTTTTTTTTTTTGCATGTGTTGAGATGCTTATTTTAGCTACATGTTGACTGATGATCTCAAGGTATTCATATGCTCATCAATGTGTCAAAGATTAAGTTTATAGAAGAAAAAGGAGACAAAAAAAAAACATGTGTAATAAAATAACAAATTATTCTAAGAAATGGCAAAACAACTTATGTCTGCATGAGAGTTAAAAAAGAACGGATGTAAGTTCAATAACTCGATAATAGCAAAAGTTTATAACCTATAGTTTTCAAAAATTCAAAGAAGAAAACTGCGGATGTCTTTTTGTTTGTTCAGCATTGATATTTGAAAATGATAACCATCTAAAATCTTCCTATTTGTTAAAGTACATGTCAAAACTGAAATTATATCGAAATGCAACATCATTTTCATGCATGCTTTTGAATGTTTTGCAAAAATGACAGATTTTAAACTAATTGTGTCTAAAATAGTATCAAACAAAAAAATGTCCGAACTTCTCATTTTATGATTATTGAAAATAGCAGGTTGCTAATTGTTGAATTATTAAGGTTACATCCACCTTTCTTTAATTTTGATGTGAACATTAATTAATTTGTTGAAAATAATTTTGCACATTTTTTTTTTTTTTTACTCATTAGTACAAGTTCTACAAAACTGATATCTCTAGATAGAGAGAATGTTTAATAAAATTATGATCGATGAAATATGATTAAACTCTCTCTCTCAAAAAATATTTTTCTTTTTTGCTAATGATTTTCCATATTTTACCGGAATAATTCCCCTATATCCGTTCCGACAATCACTGTCTCTTTTATGTAGAAAAAGAAAAGATTACAACAAATTGAAAAATCATATTTTGATCGCCCACCCCTTTGATAATGATATATTTTACTGGAATGTATTTTATAAGAATAAAAATATAATCATCTAGACAATTACTTTCGAATGAAGCAAGTAGGACTTATGCATGAAAGATATTAATTACTATTTCTTTCATGACTTTAATTTTGTATGCATGAGAAGTCTAGCATGTTATTATTTGGGCATTTTATTTACCAAAGGTGGTGTCTTATAAATCTATTGTATTTCCTTATATGTTTATATCGCTTATGGTCATGTTAATCAAGCAGCTATGAATGTTTATGGTATTACTTTTAGTTCCGAGTATAACGATAAAGAGAGTGAAACAAAAAGACTTGAAAATGAATCGAAGTTTGTTTATACTTTTGAATGAATACAAGCGCTTATCTACTTATATATATTTAATATTTTAAATAATCAATTGAGATTTTTATTGCTAGTGAAAACTTGTGATTTGTCTTTGAAATAATAAATATAATCTTTCTACTTCTAACAACTAATCAATATCGCTAAGTATATAATTTGTTTGTTGTTAATAATGTTGGAATGGATCATGATAAAAATATATTCATTTTTTTGATAATTTATTTTTCTATTTATATATATTCAATTACTTTGTCATATGGTGATTCATCATCATCTGTAGAAAAGGTTTCATTAAAAATGAATTCTTTTAGTAAAACAATATCGTGTTTTTACTTATATGATTTTATATAAATTAGCAATTTGAAAAAGCAAAAATATTGTGAAGCATCGGAATTTCGTATATGGTTGGATCAAGTGTCAGTAATCCGATCCGTGTGCTTGAGAATATAATATTATTTTCTAGTAGACACTTTTAGTTCAATCGATTGATACATTCATATGAAATAAAAAGGACAATTTTCTTTTGTTGTTTCATATCTATCACATCCTAAATTTTGTTTTTACTTATTAGATATTTCGTATAATTGTATTCATTTTCAATGATTATATTTTATTATGTAATTTAAAATTTGTTTTTTATTATTATGTTTCTAGAAAATCATCATTCAAGTTCTGTATTTAAACTTTTACGTGATAAACGTTTAAATATATGGTCAAATATGAGTCCTGATGAATATCGAATATTTCGTTCACTTGTTATATCTCTTGTACTTGCAACTGATATGGCTAATCATGCATCACTTATTGAACGTATGTCAACATATTTCTTTTTTAAAGAAACAAATTCAACAACAACAGCTACAGATTCAAAAACTTTATTACAAGCATTATTACATGGTGCTGATATTTCAAATGCAGCTAAACCATGGCCAATTTATATTCAATCAACAGAAAAAGTTATGGAAGAATTTTTTATACAAGGTGATCTAGAAAAAATATATTATGATGATAATAAACCAACATTTGATCGAGAATCAACTGATGTTGTACAATTACAAATTGGATTTATTTCACATATTGTCTATCCAACAGTAAGTAAATATATTAATAAATAAATAATTTTCAATATTAGTGTACATTTTTTTGAAAAAATAATCTACTATCATGATTATTCTCGATTATCAAAGTCATAATCTAATTCAGCAATTTACATTTGATTATTAAAGATTAATAAGATAGTAATTTGATTTTAATCGCTAATCGATTGTCAGGATGTTGGAGAATATCAGTAAGATCTATATAGAACTAAATCAGGCGTACTAATACAATGCATTTTGATCGAAATTATAATTGCTAATATAACTACGAGAAATAAAATTGTCATATAATATTTATTTGAACAAAAGTTTTAGAATAATAAAAGTACTTTTTCTAAAACATTATTTTTCATCAATAGAAAGTTCATCTGAAATAAAAAACTATGCTCAATTGCTTTCAAAAAGGAGTAATGAAGTGAAATTGATTATTTTCGTAAGTAGGAGACATACATGAGATGAGTACAACCTATAAAGACATTAACTACAAAAGTGCTTTAAATTGATTAAAATATTTTAATTCATTTGAATCGATGTTAATTAATTACTGATGTAATTACACCATCTCGATTTGAAACAATTTATATCATAGTTCCAAATTTACATCATTTGTCCGATTGTAGTTTAGTGGTAACTTCATGGTGTCTAAGCACGAGTAATAAAAGAAAAAAATAATGCAAAGTTAGAGTTTTGCGTTTGAATATCGAAAAAAAAAAATCTGATTTTAATTGATTTTTTTTCCGTCGTTTCTGCAAAGAAAAGGGCTTTGTTTAGGCTTATTTCATTTTACCGTGTAAAAAAAAAATCAATCAAAATCAGACTAATGTGAAATAGATGAGGGGATACTTACCACGACTATTTCAAAAAAAAAAATTCTAATTCTAATCAATTTTAATCAAATTGCTTTATGTTTGAGACTATTTCACATTCGATTGGTTATGATGGCTAGTAGAAAGTTCGTTTTGCTTTGAGTTTTTTCTTCTTTACTTGTTCATAGTTTCTTGTGAAAAACCGTATTGAATGAATTTCGAGATGAAACTTTTTTTTCATAGATAGGCCTTATGAGTACCTAGAAAAATCTCGAAGTTTGAATTTGGACAAATACATTCGAATGAAGATATTTGTTTATCATAGAAATGTTTATTTAAAATATAAATATCTTATCAAGAATGCGTTGGTTCTTGCTCCAACTCAAGGGATATTTCTATTGACTATAAGGTTTATCTAGCGGCAAAATTTTAGGTCCAGATTCGATCATTTAACTTCTTAGCCATCTTAAAATTGAGTAATTCATTACTGATTCAATTTAATCCAATACTTTTTTTCTAGTTTGATGTTTTATCCAAAGTACTTCAAATGGATTCTCTTGATCATAATTCTAAACTTGCACCAATAAAAAATATATCGACATGTCCATGGCAATATGATTTACAATTAAATTTAGAAACATGGCGACAAATATCAAAAGACAATGACGTTGAACAAATTTTGATTAGTAAAAAACCTTTTAAACTTAATTTCGAATATTTACAAACATATGTTGAAAAAGCGAAAGATCGTTTAAAAAGACGTTCACAACACGAATTATTACTTCGTGGTACACCTTCTGTATAAACCATCGATATTAAACATTTTTCCAAACCCTATTTTTTAATAAAAACGAAAAAAAAAATTTTTTTTAAGATATAAACTTCTCGTTTGGATTGAATGATGTTCTATCTACTTATTTTTACCAGTTGTAAGTTATATAATAGTGTATATTGATACCTGGTGTAAATATATGGATATGTAAAACAAAATAATAGGAAAAAATGAAAAGTAACGAGGCGAACAAAAAATTGAACGCCAGTAAAAAAAAACAGAAAAAAAACTTTAGAAATAAATAAGATGGATCGTTTCTCTAGTGACATCGTAGTCTGCAAGAGACTTTTCACTTGACCTATTCTCTATTAGTGTAATGAGGTCAAAAAACACATGTACGTTCCATATTTCAGCACAACAGGAACTGCTCTAACAAGCTTTTTAATAATCAATTCATATTGAATGATAAAGTTTCAACCTACATCAAATGAATAAATTCTTTTGAGAAAAAAAATGTCATGAAGTCTTCCACAATTGATTTAAAATTGCTTGCAAATGCTAATGAGTATCTTCATGTTTTCTTAATCTGTTGTAATCAAGTGAAAAAAAGAATGTTATCGAAATAAAAATTATATATGAATAAAAGAAAATAAAGTGATGAACAAAATTTTAAGATATTTTTATTATGTTGCATTTTTTGACCAAGAGATTTTACTGAAAACAGTCGAAACATATACTATTAGAGACGGAGTTTTATACTCTATATTTTGAAAAAAGAGAAACAAAATTTGTAATCCATGACCAATCCATATTTTTTAAATCTGGGATTTATTAGTTTCAGGAACTAATGGCATTTCAAAATGAAGAATGTAACTAAACTCAACCAAAATAAACCTGATCTAGATAATGTTTTCAGGTAGCACAATACTTAACAAGATCTTTCTAAGATTGAGAAAAACTTGGTCTCTTCCTATAATAAAGACGGCGGAGTTATAACAAAAATAAAAATGTCTTAAAATTATGTCTACAACTTTAATTACAGATGCATATATAATAGAAAATTAAAGAAAATAATAAGTAACAACCTGTGAATGATATATTTTTCTTTACATTCATTATGAATAGAAAATTGTCTTTTGAGTAAAAACTACAGTGCATGAAACAATAAAACATGCACATTTACAATGTCTGAAGAAAAAAATATTAGCAGTTTAATGATTAATATTATTTAATTAAAAAATGCTTGTAAACTTTTTTTTTACTCTACATAGAAAATTAAGTTCGAATTCTTATTTTAATGAATTTTTCTTGAACGAAATATGAATTGTGCATTTAATTTAACTAAAGGATAAATTCAAATAGTTTATTTTGAACAAACGAAATAAGATAATTAATATAATGAGACTTATAAAAGACAAAATTAAATAATAAACTAAGTCTTTATATCGGTATGAAACGATACTTTTTTTTTTTTGTCTATTAAAAGTTTACGGATAATCGATCCTATGGCACTATAATCAAATCAATGAGAATTTATTTACAAAATAATTTAATTAATAATATATAGCAGCAAAAATAAGAAAGATAAATTGTGAATATCCTGCGTTTTTGAAATTAATTTAATAGTAAAAAACGAAGACTATGTTTTGTGTCATCTATTTCTATCGACATCATCAATGACAATAAGTAGAACATAGAAAAATGAGAAAATTTAAGTGATTTTCATAGGCAAACGAAACAAATTATCTAAATATGTTCAATCATGCATGTCCACATACATGAAGTGACTATCAAAATTATTCGACCATTAGATGATTTCATTTTATTTTGCATATATGTTAAAAACTTGGTAAACTATAATGATCTGATTTTCGTCACATTACAACTCATAGTTTCTAGTCTACTAGGAAAAAGTTTCAGGTTTAGGCAAAAAAAAAAAACGTTTGATATAGGATAATATTTAGTTCTAATGTATGAACTACCTTCTTAAAAGGGATGGTGAGAAAAAATATATCCCAAAACAATATCCTTGTGATTAGCATCAGCAACTGCATCATGTCTCACGTTTTAATTCTGTATAGATTGTGCTAACAGTTGTTAAATCTATAATCAAAGAGAAGCTACAATAAAAACTACTTCCTATGCAGTGCACAATTTGTTCTATTGAATCATGCATTTCAAAATATTTCAACTGACAACAGATTGTGTTACAATAAATGGTTGGATAATTTTGAAAGGATAGGAAACGGCACGCTGTAATTGTATCTTCTGTCAAAACTAAACAGATCAAGGGATTAATCTGAAATTTTTTACCAGTATACTAGAGACGATGGATTGTATTCTTCAAGTTTTTGATATATACACAAAATGTAATGAAATTATCTATTGATCGAATAATTGTTGATATTCGTTGTATATGAAGAGTATCAATTCGCATTCTATGATTTAAACGCTTATCTTGGAGTAGAAAGAGTTCTTTTTCATAAAATATAATTTTTAAAAAGTTTGTTATAGTTAGTTCGACATAATGGTTCATCAAACATTCTTTACAAAATATTCTGAGCGTCACCAAGTTATTAAAAATGAAAACTACATTCTACTAATCATTATCAATTAGATATGGATGAGCATCATAATATAAAACAATGTCTGTCATTATCGTCATGGAAAATAGCTGAGACATATTTTTTTGATGTTGTAAAAAAAATTATTTGAGTTCATTACAGGATTATTTTTCAAGCAAAAACACAGAAAACAATCTTTCTGCTCATAGAGATCGAGTGAGATAATTGAAGGATTTTGCGATAGTTTTTAATCAATCTACAAACGATGAATACTACATCAAGCAGTGTTAGTAGTGTTAATAGTGCTCTTTTAGCTGCACCTTATCAATTGAATATGTGGCTTGGTTTATTTATTTGGGTAGCAGGTAATCTTGGTTCTATTGGAAATATGATAGTATTTAGTTCTCGAACATTTCGAAATCGAGCTTATTCAGTTTATCTATTATCAGAAGCTATGTCTGATTTTATTTACTTTGATTTTCTATTACTTACAAGAGTACTTCAAAAAGGATTTCAAATTCCAATAACTACACGTTATGATGTATTGTGTAAACTTCGACAATTTGTTTCCGTTTGGAGTCATCAAGTTTCGTTTACTCTATTTTCATTTGCAACAATTGATCGACTTTTATCTGCACAACGTTCGAATAGTAAGTTTAGACAAATAAACATCAACTAATTGAATATTAGATTTCATTTTTTTCTACAACATTCTATATTAAATTTTGGAAAGGGGAAGGTTGAAATTAGATATTAGCAATAATTCATGAAAAAAAAAATAATTTATTTATATAAATCGATAGAGAAAAGAATACAATGAGTACCCAAATTATTTAACAAAGTTTATCAGCATTTTTTGTCTACTATTGTAAACGTTAGAAAGAATTCAAATAGTAATTCGAATAGAGAAAATAATTTTCAACAAAAATATAAGAAAATAAAAATTATTATCAGATTTGCACAGATAGAAGCTTCAGAAAACTAAAATAGAAGGGTACAGCAATTTGATTGAAGGTCAAATAATGAATTTTTGTTTAAGAAATTGGAAAAATAATTTTATCTTTGCTCTATCATTCTATGTAATCCAAAGAAAATTATTTTTACACATTCTAGGTGTTAAAAACCGGGTTCTGATTTTCTGCGGCCTATGTCTCTGTTTTTCTATGTTCGAATAACTATTTCGATCGTTTCTAACGCTTATGACGACAGAGAAAAATTGAAAATTTGGTACCCACTGTATTGATGACTTTTTGAAGGAAAGATCAAATTCTAACAGACTTTCGAAAGAAATTGCTAACGAACCACCGTGTTTGCCGAGAAATTTTCGTGTTTTTTTTTGTTTTGAGAAGACTGCTTTTTATTTGCATCAGCCCCAAATGAACTATTCTAAGTGGTAAATCTATTGTGTGGAGGAGCCCTATCAAACAAAGCAAATTATCAAAACTCATCATTTATACATAGTTTGGGAGGCGGAATACTTCTTAAAAACAATCCATTTCTTTTCTTTTTCAGTAAATATACAGTAGTAATTCGATCTTCCTCCTCGTTCTCTTACGGTAGCTATTACCCTTTTTTTTTATTTTCATTTAAGCATATCGTCAATGGAGCAATCGTGTAGGACTAGCTTACAAAATGAGTATCGCATGTGTACTCTTTTGGCTATCGTTTATTGGTCATCGACTGATTTTATATAGTGCTAGTAATGGAAAATGTGGTCCTCTTTCAGGCTTTTATTCTTATTTTGATAATTATACTGAAGTAGTTATTACAGCAATATGTACGCCAATAGTGATGGTTGTACTTGCTTATTTATTAATACACAGTGTTCGTGATGTTATTCAACGACGGATTGTTCCTGATAATAATGGACCGCCGGTAAGCATTGCACATCGATCAGTTCTTCAACAAATTGATTCTCGACTTACATTGATGCTTATATTACAATCAATCATTACTATAATAACATATACACCATATGCAATTGAACTTATCTATACAAATGTTACCCAATATTGGCCCAAATCAGCTTTACAACTTGCTATAGAAAAAGTCATCGTTGAATTTATTCATTTAGTATCATATACATTTTTTGCCACTAGTTTTTACGTATCGTTAATTTCGAATAGTGGTTTTCGTCGACAATTCAAAAGATTCTTTAGAAAGCCAAAGCCTGATGATCATACAATTCATATAAATACTATTTTTCATACGAACACAATTATTAATATTCAACAGAAATAAGAACATCGTTCATCATGAACATTAATTTTCCAAAATAGAAAAATTGATTTAATTATAATTGAAAACATACTTTTCGAAATAAAATGATCTTACAATCTAAAACTTGTAGAATGTCTATTTGAAAGAATTTAATACCTAATGGGATATTCAAATAATAGCGATTTATGTCAGATCAATATACATTTAGTAATAGACGTTCAAGTCATATTATTAATTCAATAATATATTGTTTTTTGTTGAATTTTGATTGATGCTAATAATTTGAAAAAAAAACGATTTCAACAGACGAAAGAACTTCTTCTTCGCTCGGAAATCGTGAAAGTTTTGATATATCTTAAGCGCATATCATAAAACTTAAGTTTACCAGAAGGTCATAGTAATAGTGAATAAAATGTTTCCGAAAACTGGATTGAGTTATTAGGTATCTTCATATAAAGTGTGTACTGATAATGGTAACGTAAAAATTGTATTCATCAACTGCTCCAATTATCAAAAAAACTGAATAGATCACTATATCCAGTTCTCAAAGCCGAACAGATTCGTAGAATTAATCTGTTTGAAAAATTTAGTTCTGTCGAAAAGAACTACGTGGTTGATACCAATCGATATATCAAAAGCTTTTTGTCCTTATTGAGATGAGTTAAATCTGTTTTATTTCCAATTTCGTTTCAACCGCACGATCACCGTTATCAAAACTTTTCTTGAGATTGTAAACGCTATCGATTTGAATTTCTAATAATTAATTCATATTAAATAATCAATATTTGATTATGATTAAGTTTCCATCTATATCAAATGAATGTGTTCTTCAAAAATATTCTATTGAAGAAAAGAAAATATTGCCTGGGTACAAAGAAAAATATTTCATGATGTCTTTCACAGTTGATTCGAATTTGCCTGTAGACGGAAATGAATGTCTTTGTGTATCTTAATTTCTTGTAATTAAGTAAAAGAAGACTATCATCGTAATCAAAATATATACGAAACAATTTTTTTCTTATTACTTAACAGAAAGCAATTACAGATATATATATATAATCGAAATAAGCCAAAGGAAACAATAAGTAACAATCTATACATGATATATCCTTCTTTACATTCATAATCAATAGAAAAATCTTTTTTGAATAAAAGCTGCACTGCATAAAATATGAACATCTACGATGTTTGAAGAAAAAACGTTAGAACTTTAATGATTAATATTATATAGTTAAAAAATTCTTGTAAAAACTTTTACTCTTCATAGATCATTAAATTTGTATTTTATTTTAATGAATTTCTTTTTCGAACGATATCGAGCATTAAAAAGGTTTCATCACAATTTTCTAATATGAATTCTGCGTTTACTTTAACTAAAGGGTACATTCAAATAGTTTATTTTGAACAAACGAAATCAGATAAGTAATGTAATGAGCTTTCTAAAACATAAAATTAAATGATAAACTAAGTCTTTATATCGGTATGAAACGATACTTTTTTTTGTCTATTAAAAGACTACGGGAAATCGATTTTATGGCACTATAATCAAATCAATGAGAATTTATTTACAAAATAATTTACTTAATAGTATATAGCAGCAAAAACATATATACAGTTTCAAACTGTAAAACAGCAAAAATAAAAAAGGTAACTTGTAAATAGAGATGTAAGCCGAAGGGTGAAACGGCGGCGGCTGTTTTAATAGTCCAATTTTTTTCCGTGGCGGCTCCTACTAGACTCTATGCTTTTCTACAGTGGCGGCAGCGGCTTTAATCGTAAAAATTCTTTTTCCATAGCGGCGGCGGCTTTGACAACCAAAAAAAAAATCGTTTTTACTCCTAAAAATGTCAGTGGCGGTGGCGCATCGTACTATTATCAAAAATTTTTGTTCGTGGCGGCGGCACAACGGCTGAACTAACTTTTTCACAGCAGCGGCGGCTAAAAAATTCGTAAAACTACCTCCGATTCCGTGGCGGCGGCGACGCAGCTGGATGGCTTACACCTCTACTTGTAAATATCCTGCTTTTTTTAAATTAATTTAATAGTAAACAACGAAGACAATGTTCTGTGTCATCTATTTCTATCGACATCATCAATGACAATAAGTAGAACATAGAAAAATGTGAAAATTTAAGTGATTTTCATAGACAAACGAAACAAATTATCTATATATATTCAACCATGCATGTACAACACACATATGAAATGATTATCAAAATTATTCGACCATTAGATGATTTCATTATATTTTGCATATATCTCAAAAACTTGGTAAACTATAATGATCTGATTTTCGTCCAATTACAATCTATAGTCTCTAGTATACTTGTAAAAATTTTTAGATTAATCCATTGATCTGTTTAGTTTTTATTGATTATACAATCGTAATTTGTCGTTTTTCATCCTTTGGAAATTATCCAATGAATTTATGTTGTATGCCTTTGGTTATATGACTCAATGAAACAAATTGTGTTCTATATAAGGAGTACTTTTCTTTAAATATAGGTTATAAAAGCAATGGTTCTTTTGTTTGGCTTATATCGGAAATTTTTCTCAGATGATACTTAACCAATTTTATCGTTCAATACAAGATGCACCATATATAGCACTACGATAAAAATGAAGAATATCTTTGTTTCGGTTCGCTCAATAGGATTGATTTATTAGTTAATGGTAGAAAATTCGAAATTTTGAAGTCATTAATTTTTAATTAATTATATCTGACAATTTACCTTCTATGCATCAATATAATATTATTGATAAAGTGCGTTTTGATTTTTTTCTTAATCTAGGACGAGAACTGATTCCTTATCTCATCCGTATGAAGAAAAAAAACTTCTACCACGAGCTAAAAAAATCATCCCATTTGATTGAACCGAAGTGAAGATAGTTTAATTTCTTACCGTAGCACTATTTATAACTCTCTCTGTATATCAATATCAAGAAAAGTACTATCAATGACATGAAATATTCGATTTGAATAGATATTTCAGTTGTATTGGTTGTGTCATATGTGTACACTATTTATAAATAGACCTTCTTGTGCGCCCCATACACACATTGAATGCGGTATTAAACACTGTTTTGACAGTAAGGATTTGTAGAAAATCTTTTTTCGTACAAAATTCTTATATTTGAAATCAAAAGCAATTATATATCCTTATTACGTTATAAATAGTACATTATAGCATGTTGCTCTAAAAATTATTCGTTCTCTTCATAGACTTCATTTAATAAAATCTTGATTCAAATGTAACAATTTTCTAAACAAAAAAACTTCCATACAAATCTTTACAAGAAGATCTTTATGTAACTGGTGTATATATTGGAGACGATCAACACAATTTTCCAACACAAAATATTATATTAAAATAAAAAGAAGTGTCGCATCGGCTTCTTGTTCAAAATTTTAAGTTTAGTTCGAAAAAACATTTCTTTTGGTTACACATGCTCTAAAATGAGTGTTGTAGTATAGGAGTGGAAATTCGGACTCCCCACAGATCTGTTAGCAACGGTTGGTTACTTATGTATGTCTGAAAGATTAAATAAAAGGATGATAAAAAAATGTATCATAAAACCATCTCCTTGTAATTAGCGCCAGCAACTACGTCGTGTTTCACGTTTTAATTCCTTATAGATTATGTTAACAGCTATTAAACCCATAATCAAAGAAAAACTACGAAAAAAATTTCTTCTTTTGTAGAGTACAATTTGTTTTATTGAACCATGAGCTGATAACAAATGTCAACTCACAGTAGGTGTGCCACAATAAGTGGTTGAATAATTTTAAAAAGATAGGAAATAGCATGCTGCGATTGTATCGTCAATCAAAACTAAACAAATCGATGAATTCACTGGAAAATTTTTCTAGTATACTAGAGATTAGAAAAGGGTACTGTGACTTTATCGTCACTGACTATTTTCGAAAATTGTTGAGGAATATACATTTTGTTCAAATTTACATCCATTACGTAATGGACTATTAAAAATATGTTTCCCATATAACTTGACTCAGGAAATTCCTGTGTGACCATTCAATCATGACGAGCAACGGGCGATTTTCTGAGTCAAATTAGAAACAAAACTTATGTTTAATGTTCCATTTCGTAGCGACTGTAAAGCGGTACAGAAAGTATATTCCTAAACCGTTTTGAAGTTCTTCGTCACGACAAATTCACAGTGCTGGACTCTGCTACAGACTATGGACTGTAATCTGAAGAAAAGTAGATCATTCTAGCTCATCAATTTTTTAAAATATACTAAAATTATCTACTAGTTGAATAATTTTGACAGTCACTGTATCAAATTTTTTTCACAAAATAAAATTCTTAAAGTGCCTATTAGAATTTGTCGGACATAATGGTTCGTTACACATTTTTTACAAAATATTGCTCTGCTTATCATTATCACAATTAGATATAGATGAGCATCATAATATGAAACAATGTCTGTCATTATCGTCATGGAAAATAGGTGAGACATTTTTTTTGATGTTGAAAAAAAATTATTTGATTCTATTACAGGATTATTTTTCTAGCAAAGACAAATAGAAAAAAAGTCTATCTGTTCACCGATATCGCGTAAGATATTTGAAGGATTGTGTGTTTTTTTCCAATAAATCTACAAATGATGAATACTACATCAAATAGTATTGATAGTGCTGTCTTAGCTGCNTGAGTACGAAGGAAAAAATTACACTCACACTCACCCGCATCCGAAAAGGGTGTGGGTGTGAGTGTGGGTGGTGGGTGTGTGGGTGGGTGCGGAGTGTGGGTGTGGGTGTGTGGCTGTCTGGGTGTGGGTGTGTGGGTGTGTGGCTGTCTGGGTGTGGGTGTGTGGGTGTGTGGGTGTGTGGGTGTGGGTGTGTGTAGGTGTTATTCTTCATTTGACACACACACACTCACCCCACCCACCCACACCCACACCCACCTCAAATGAAATTGAAGATGAACTTAATGATGATGAAGAACGTTTTCGAAGTGATGAAGTTTTTTTAATACTTAAATCAAGTGGAATACTATCATCATTCGTATTTGTTGTTGTTTTCTGTTCAGTTGAATTTAATAATAATGGAAATAAAAATGAAGATAATCTTCCATTAAAAAAAGGATCTATAGAAGTTAAATGTGATAGATAAGAAGAAAGAGGAAATAGTAAACTGGAATTCCATAACCAATTATTTATCCGTTCTTTATTTAAGCATTTTGGTGGATGTATTGGTAGAGAAGATGACATTATACCACCACAAATATGTCTTAAAACAAAAGAATTTTCTTTTATGTATATTAAAAGATTTTTTAAAAATGTAAGCGAACGTTTGTTTTGCGAATAGTTTTACTCGAGCATGGTCGGTGACAAGGCATCAGAAGGTGTTTTCGTTATACCTCCAAATGGACTACAAAAACTGAGATATGAATGTTCTCTTAAGTTCATTTCAGTTCTTATCACATTAAGCATTTTGTTGGAGCGAACAAAATTTCAAGGAACTGTAGTTATTTTAGTAATTTTTCGCTATTAAATAATTATCTATTCTGTACACTTATTTCGGTACAATTGAATTCTATAATGAAACTTTAAAACTTGTGATTTCGTGTATTCTGTAGAGCGGACTTTATGCTTGCAAATGAGAGCTAAATGTCTTCGATGCAACGCATTCTTCAGTCGATAGAATGATTTCAACTTGATAAAGCGTCTTATCTAAGAATAAGAACTAGATAACAGCATTTAAATACTTCATCAGAACTATATAATACACTAACTCCCAAACCGTACTAAAACAAACCATTCTCACACAAGGTAACATATCAGTTTTTCTTAAGACTTTCAATATTCCATTCTGCAACGAATGGTATACAAAAGAATGTTTAATAATTATTCAACTGCAAAAAATTAAGGTCTCCACTTCAAAAGAAAAAGTCAACTTTCGTCAATTTTTGATCGTGCGCTTTAGAATTCTCAAAGTAGCTTTATCATACCCGGAGAACATGACAGAGTCCGTTTTTTCTAATCAAGCATTGTTACTATCATATAAGCGAATACTTTTGGCCTTAATAAAATATCAAAAGTGCTTTAAAACTTTGTCTACTCTAACAAAATGATTTGTGCGATAAGAACTGAAACGGACTTATGAGAACAGACTATCGAAGAAAACTATTAGATTACTTAAGAAAGTTCTTGACACACTTAATCTTAGTCAGACAATGTATTAACATATTTACTGATGTTTATTAAGTGTTGTACTATTTGAAAAATTTTGTTCACAAAATTTACATTTAACTTTTGTTTGACAATCAACATGCATTCGTTTATGTCGACAAAGATTTGAAAATTGTGTATAAGATTTTAAACAAACTTCACATTGAAATGGTTTTATTGATGAATGAATATGCATATGTTGTTTTAAACCACTTAATGNAACTTCGACAATTTGTTTCCGTCTGGGGTAATCAAGTTTCGTTTACTCTATTTTCATTTGCAACAATTGATCGACTTTTATCTGCACAACGTTCGAATAGTAAGTTTAGACAAATAAACATCAACTAATTTAATATTAGATCAATTTTGAAAACAGGCATGTTAAAGTTGTTAGATGTTCGCAATAATTCATGAAAACAATCAGTTAAATTTTGAAGAGAATTGGATAGATTTTTCTCGTTATTTTGTAAGAAATGATAAGATATGACTCTGAAAAGCATTTTTAATAAAAGAAAAACATTTTCTCGGAAAAAAGTTTTTCGACGAAACAACCTTCGGGAAAACCCCTGACCTCCTTGTTTTTGGAGAATTTTTTTTCTTCAAAAGTTCAATGCACTGATGTCGAATATACTATTTTTGTCGGTTAGATATTTTCCATAGTCAAAAAAAAACTGAATAATCTAGAGTTTTTGGAAACCAACCGTGCAATCCAGAAATGTTTTGCGCTAACAAGGATCAGAGATAGTAGATAGAAGAATATTTTTGACAAAATTTGGAGATAGAATTGTTTATTTTATGCAACTGGCTCTTCGAACGAAAGTTTCAAAAAAACTGTCGAACACTAATTTTGTCAGATATGAATTTTCCAGAAGACATCATGCTTTCTGGGCTAATTTTTCAATTTCTTTGACAGCTGTAATAAAGTTATTTATGTCATTAGATTGACTCTACTTCGAAGTACTACACTTTTTTCTTCTCATTTAAGCATATCGTCAGTGGAGCAATCGTGTAGGACTAGCTTACACAATGAATATTACATGCATACTTGTTTGGCTATTGTTTATTGGTCATCGACTGATTTTATATAGTACTAGCAATGGAAAATGTGGTCCTCTAGCAGGCTTTTACTCTTATTTTGATAATTATATGGAAGTAGTTGTTACAGGAATATGTCCACCTATAGTGATGATTTTACTCGCTTATTTATTAATACGCAGTGTCCGAGGTGTTATTCAACGGCGGATTGTTCCTGATAATAATGGACCATCGGTAACCCTTGCACATCGATCAGTTCTTCAAAATATGGATTCTCGACTTACATTGATGCTTATATTACAATCAATCATTGCTATAATAACATATATACCATATGCATCTGAACTTATCTATTCAAATGTTACTCAATATTGGTCAAAATCAGATTTACGTAATGCTCAAGAAAAAATTTTTGTTGAATTAACTCATTTATTGTCGTACATATTTTTTGCCACCAGTTTTTACGTATCGTTAATTTCAAATGATGGTTTTCGTCGACAATTTAAAAATTTCTTTCAAAAACCAAAGTCTGATGACCGTACAATTCATATTAATACTATTTTCCATACGAATACAATTATTAATATTCAACAGAAATAAAAATATCGTTCAGCATGAACATTAATTTTTCAAAAGAGAAGAAAAAATAATTAAGTTATAATTGAAAACATGCTTTTCGAAATAAAATCATCTTACAATTTAAATCTTGTAGAATTCGTTCGATAATACGCCGTCTACGCTATGACATACATGCACTCTTGTGGCTAGTATATAGTTAGTTAATGTGTATTGGGCGCTCAAGTAGCTGAGTGCAAGAACTCTGCATCAGCTGATCTTGTGTCCAGAGCTACAGTTATTCATAGTTTTAGAGAAGATATTGGGCTATTAAATTTACCGCTAGGCAGCATTCCATACTATAAAGTAGCTGGAAGTCAGAGTTATTCTTCCACATACCCACGGCTTGTCGATTTATCACAAAATGAGATTTGTTTAATTGGTTTTTTATTTAAAAATATTTTTTCTATGATTACATATGAGAAATCAAGTACTTTGTAGAAATATCGATTCAATAAATTTATTAATACTTTTGTTATTGATCTTGACTAGAAATAATGCTACTTCTTATTATGAATCTCTAGTGAAAAATTTTCCAATGTCATGTAGAATCCAAAAATAAGATCAAATTGATTTTCAAGTCATTGTTAACCATATTCAGTTTTAATTGAACAAAATAAAACTTATTTTTCACGATTATGTATATTACGTATATGACGTTGAAGATTCGATGAAATTGAAAAAGATCGTTCACAATATTTACAATCATAAGGCTAGAAAAAAAAGGTGATAAAACAAAAGACTTTCAATAAAACCAATGAAAATAAAAAAGTAAAATCTTATATGATTTGCTTGCATGAACATTCAAACTATACTACATATCGTAAGTTGTACCTAATCATAAATATAACGATTAGTCGAAAGTTGAAAATATCTATTAATTTCTTCTTCTGTCTAAATTTCGTTTACTCGATTTAATTTTCATTCCTCAAAAGTTAATTTTCTAGTGATACTTCACTTTTATTTCATGATAGCAATGGAACCATTTTTGTCCACTATGCTTTTTACATGATCAGATGATTTACTTAAAATATATATCATCTACAGATAAAAAAAGAAGCTATCACACTGAAATATTATTGTAGTCATATTTCGTTTATAAGTAGAACTCATGGTATATATGAGTATACTAAAAGGGATCGTGCGCTTATGACTCTTTGCTCGATTTAAGGTCATTTTACTTAGTTTTCAGCCCATCACGAAAACACATGTAACAGATAATGACCGTCAAAAGCTTTCCTCAATAACAGATCTCATGGTACTTATTATATCCTGAAAGTTTCAACTTGAACAGATGAGGTTTATTTTCAACGAAAAACATCTGGTTGAACTTAAATTTTCAGGATACAATAAATACCATGATATTTGTTATTGGGAAAATTTTCAGATGGAAATTCATTATTTCGCTTTTATCTGTAATATTTTTAAAATTCAATAAAAAGATCATGACTGTCCTACTTATGAGCTCAAACAGATAGCATCATTTTTTTTATGTATACAAATAGATTTGAATATACAAACTTCATAATCGTAAGTACTGATAGTCAAGTCATTTGTCTTGCATAGATATCTGATGTATGTCGAGGATTTGAAGTAATACAAGAAACGAATGTGAATCTTTGTCCATCGAGTTCTATTAATAATAGATCCTTTAAGGGCATCAAACACCCAGATCGACATAACAAAATGCTCTTATCCACTAGGTCGAGAGCCGAGTGATGAAGAAATATTTTTGTGAAACATGATCTAATAGGAGTATTGAAGTGCAGGGACTAAAATTCGAACTCCTCATAGACGTGGCAGATATCCTTAGTTACATCTCTTCTCCCTTTGTGTCACAGACAATATATCAATAATATGTCTCAAGATAGATAGAATAAAACAATCTCGTAAAAATAGAAATGATAATTTACTTGTTCGCCTGTATGTGTTCGTAAATGTCGAGTTAAATTTGCTGTACGAGGAAAATTTTTTTCACAATAAGAACATACGTATTTATATTTATTTGATAAACGAGCATTTAAATAATATGATGTATCTATTGGTAAATGATGATTGCGACTATCAGGTAGATTCGAATGATTCATTGATGTTATTAATTGTTGTTCATCGGTTTTATTTGATAATAATATATTTTGTTGTTGTTGTTGATCATTTGATACTAGTAAATGAGGACTAATTATTTCAAATGAAAGTGATGATGAAGAACGTTTTCTAGGTGATGAAGATTTTTTAATACTTAAATCAAGTGGGATACTATCATCATTCGTATTTGTTGTTGTTGTTGTTGTTTGTTCAGTTGGATTTAATAATAATGGAAATATAAATGAAGATAATGTTCCATTAATAAATGGATCTATAGAAGTTAAACGTGATAGATAAGGATAAAGAGAAAATGGTAAATTTGAATTCCATAACCAATTATTTATCTGTTCTTTATTTAAGGATATTGATGGATGTATTGGTAGAGAAGATAACATTATGCCACCACAAAAATGTCTTAAAACAAAAGAATTTTCTTTTATCTAAATTAAAAGATTTTTTGAAAATGTAAGAGAACGCTTGTTTCACGAATAGTTTTACTCGAGCATGATCCGTGAAAGGCATCAGGAGATGTTTTCGTCAGATCTCCAAATGGACTATAACAACTGAGATAAGTTCATTCCAGTTCTTATCTAATTAAGCAATTTGTTGCAGCATGCAAAATTTCGAGAAACTTTAGTTATTTTATTAATTTTTTGCTATTAAATAATTATCTATTCCGTAAACTTATTTCGGTACGATTAAACTTTATAATAAAACGTCAAAACTTGTGATTTCGTGTATTCTGTAGAGCAGATTTTATGCTTGCGAATACGAGCTAAATGTCTTCGATGTAATGGCTATCGAAAAAAAAACTATTAGATTACTTAAGAAAGTTGTTGATACACTTAATCTTAGTCAGACAATGTATTAAAATATTTACTGATGTTTATTAAGTGTTGTACTATTTGAAAAATTTTGTTCACAAAATCTACATTTAACTTTTGTTTGACAATCGACATGCATTCGTTTATGTCGACAAAGATTTGAAAATTGTGTATAAGATTTTAAACAAACTTCACATTGAAATGGTTTTATTGATGAATGAATATGCATATGTTGTTTTAAACCACTTAATGTTGTAAATGATTTTCCACATTGTGAACAAGAATATCGAAGATAAATTTGATTTTCTAATTCTGAATCAGAATTTTCTATATGATTATCAACCTGAATTAAACAAAGAAATCAATCATTTTTCTTATTATAATAAGAATTCGTATCATCGTAAAATACCATACAGACGAACTTATAATAATCATACATATTAGATTAAAAACAACAACTCTCTCTCTCTCTCTCTCTCTCTTACATTCATATTATATCATCATTAGTGTCAACGTACTCAATAAATCAATGACATATTACAATTTTTATTCAATACCTGCATGATGAATATTTATTAATCCATAAACATCATTGTTCAATGAAATCTATAAGAAAACATTTTTTTTTTCTTTATTTTTAGTCTTCTTAGTAAAACCGCTGATACTTATCTTGTGTTTTATTATAGTACAAATCGTTATTACTTACTTTATTTTTGACACAATTTGTATTTTTAATTAGTTTGTCATGATATAGATGATTGAAGTCTGCTAAAAACAAAAGGTTAATCGTTCGTCTCGATCAAATGCTAATTAAAAAACAGAAATACCAGATTGAATAGGTTTAACAGTAACATGAGTCTTCATTATTCGTTCATCGTCTTTTTATCGAATACTGTTCGTTGACATCTTGATTTTTCCGATGAATATACAAAATCTATTGAGGAGGAGAGAAATAACTTTGATGTATGTCTTGTGAACAAACAATAACAATACGACCGTCATCATCATTATCGTTGCCTTTTTTTTTCTCTGTCTCCCTCTCCCTCTCTCTCTCTCACCGCCAGCTCAATAGTCAAATTTCAATGATAAATTTTCTATTTCCCATTTGAGAGCTTCCTTCCAAAGGGATGAGAAGACAAAGAAAGACACTTAATATATTTTGACACTATTGTCTGTCTTACCGTGTATTTGTTCGCAGGAAAAAAAAATGAGAATAGAGATCATGGTCATTATACTCTATAATGATCGATAGGTAGTAGTTGACAATGAATGAAAGAAAGCAAAAAGAAAATCTAGTAAAATGAACGTATGTTTTGTGATGAAATTTTCTTCTTAAATAACTGTTCAATGTGAAAGAAGATGAATGAGTTATACAAAGTTGTAATCGTACAGAAACGATGAAAATCATTGTTTTTTTTTGTCTTACGAACAGTAAGTCGAGACGACCACACCTACTTGACGAACAAGAAGAAAGAAAAAAAAAATTAGTAACCGAGTAAATAGAAGTGAAGGTGCCATTCGATCTTGATGATTGAACTTTCTTTCCGAGAGAGCTTGAACACACAGTGATGTTGACAAACACATGTGCATATTTTATCAATAATAGAAAATTAATAGAACACAGACAAGTCACAGAAGTAAAATAGTCGAGAATGACAAAAAAAGGAACAGAACTAAAAATAATCATTTTTTTCAATCTATCATGTCACAATCTTTTTAAAAAGCATATTTACTTCATTTTTATAATAACGAATAAGACAAAAAGGGATCTTTTAATCTTATTTACTAATACACATCCAAAGACAATTGTGTGTTGTTTTTTATTTTAAAGAATTAATCAAAATATTTGGCCGCAGATATTGTTTCAATCAAAATGAACAACTTGTTCTTTTCACCACTGTAAAATTGTCATTGCTTTTCATCTATGGCATACATATGTGATCACTATTCAGACAATAAAAATGAATTATTAAATATATATTTATATTTGAAATAAGAAATACTCAAAAAAAAAAAAATTTCAATGAGCCATACTCTTGTCTGAAGATTTACTTTCCGTTGATTAAATGAATGAAGTGAAATGGGAAACTTACATCCTATTTTCAAAGAAATATGAATCAAATACTATCGATATATTTTTAGTCTTTTTAAAATACATGATAGTTGCATTTGAATCATAAAACTAGTTATAGATTTTGACTTCTTGTGATAAACTGCATTAGATTCCTTAGGAATTTAAATACTTTTATACGATTTACTGATTCTTCATGTATTGCATTAGAGACGAAAAGTATACAAAAAAGTCAACGAAAAAAGTTGAAATGAACAGATATGGTGGAATTTGCTCTACACAATTATGTTTTTTTTTCTCCTAGTCATTATCATGGATACTTGAGAACTTGTAAGTCCTATACAGATCCTGATGCAGCTTTTCTTGCTCAATTCAAATGTATTAAGAGATTTCTAATCTTTCTAAATATTGTGACGTTATCACTCTTGTTTCAAGAAAAATAGTTAGATTTTTTTATAAATGACAAGATACAGTCTTTTGAAAATTAGTATAAGACATATTAATGAAGGTATAATCAATGACCTTCTAGTAATTGTTGACAATTAAGATAAAAAAAAAGAAAGAAAAAGAGATTTTCGTGATGAATCTATTCAAAGTGAATGGATTGATAGGAGACATTTTAACTGATTAAAATTAAGATTGTCTTTATATTTTTCTACCGATAATGAAACAAATGACTTGGATTTCGAAGAAATAATTCAAACAATTCACTAAACAAAGAAAAATGAGAATATCTTCGCCATATTTCAACCAAATGGACTAAAATTTTAACTAATGATAAAGGAGTAGTCTTCGTAGCTCGTGTTCATAAGAAAAATGTCATTAAAAATCTTTTTCTTGAAATATTTTACAATTGACCTTTGAGAAGTTACAAAAAATAATAAACAGAAAATATTTATTGACAAAATTACAATATGAGTTTTTCATTACTCGTACAAGATTACTGAATGTTTGTTGAAATTAGTTGTTTTACTTCAAAGTACTTGTGGTCTTTGGCTATCGATCACTATCATTATCATCGGCAACTATAGACTATAGCCGACCGACGAAATTTAACATAGTAAGCTGAACCAACACCCCGCTTAATGGCATCAAATTTGCTTTCTCTTCACTGCGCCATTTTTCATCGTACTCGTTCACTGAAGTAATATGCAAACAAACCATACTACCTTGTTTCTATTGTTGTTGGCGGTGGTGACAACAGAAAAAGAAGTGTCTTTTACATTAGACCACGTCTTAGTTATGGATCAATTTTATGATATGATAGTTTTTACTAAATTTTTTGCATTCTATATTAGTGAATTGGATTGCATTGTTTTCAATAGAATACTAGTTCGAAAACCTCTTGCACTAAGAAAAATAAAAGACACGTTTTCTTACTTAGATTATATGAGAACCAGATTCGACTATTTCGTAGGGCAGATTTGTCCTAGATATTATGTTCCAAATAGAAGGGTGTGAACTCTACTAGGTGATGAATCGAAACAATCAGTGTTGATTCACTCTTTTGGATTATATCATTATTCTTCTAAAAACTTGCACAAGAATTTTCTGATTGTTTCCCTTGTAGCTTTTGGTTTCGAGAATTTTTTACCTTTCTCTTTACATATATCTGATGTGATAATAAAACTCTTCACCTAATAATGTGTTCATCTCTTCTAAATAGTGATATGAAATAAAGAAAAAATTTCTCAACTAATTTACATCTAATAGAGTAGACAGGATTGAGTTTTTATCCATTATGGAATTTTAATTATCCAAATCACTGCAGAATTAGCACAAAAATGCTACTCAGTTGATTATCAATTGATGCGTACACAAGTGGTTCTGGTTTAACTTGGTCTATTCCTATTAGCCGAGTGTTGGGCAATGTGAAAGATAAGATCTTTGCAAGTGTTTGGTGCTTTTACACTGAAGGATTGATTCTTGTTGATCAATATCACTTTTACATGTTTGATATTGATTAAATGTATTTGTAAATGTGAATGCAGTGCTCGTTGTTGTTCTGACACAATGCTACCGAAGTAACATGGTAATATGACAATAAGATATCGTTATCAGTCAACTTATGATGATCGTAGTGATTCTCGAAGATTTCTTGTCAGTACCCACATTGGGCTTTTGTTCTATGGTGAGCTTCAATAGTTTTTTTCACTGTCAAAAATGTTTTCATTTTACTTTTTTCGATTACAAATATCACCCGAACATGACTAAAATTTTAACTACAAGTCAAAAAATAGAAAAACTACTTTAAAATGTATTATTGGCTTTGACTAGTAGAAAATCTCTCACTGCTCGAAGAGATCAATGCACCAGAGCCTAAATATAAGTTTATCATTGATTTTAGTCTACAAATCTGGAGCAGGCACATATTGATTAGAAACAATTACTTTGACGAATCCATTAAATGGTATAGACCAAGAATAAGAAAACACAATTAAAAAATCTATTAGAAATTTATCATTATTTTGTTTTGCATAATTATTCTCTTACAAAATTAGCAATCGTATCTTATGGAATAGAATCCCGATATCTTTTGTGTGATCCTCGAAGTCAACAATTACTTATCTGTCAAGCTATGAATGGTGTTCTCGTTCGTCGTTTTCATATTGGACCAGTCAATGCATGTTGTCTCACTGATGGTCGACTAGTTTTATGGATACAAAAAGCATATGCCAGTTCACCAATTGGAAAACTACATTTTATTAGTAGTCCTCATCTAGAAAAGTATGCATTAGTATCGACATCGTTTGAACTTTTGAAGAAATCACACAAATAATTCCTAGTGATTGATTGCTTATTTGATACATTTTCACTTATATTACCTCACTATTATATATTTTTACTAATAAAACAAGGTTACATGCTTTCAAATATCTTTTTTGGTTTCTTGTTGTTTTTGAAGCATATATATATATATTGAACAATATATATTTCCATTATAAAATGAAGGTTGACTTATGACAGTATACTTCTGTCTGTTAAGTCACAATAGTCAGAATTATCTCTGCGCTCTTCATTTTCTTTATATAGTATTTCATGTTATTTTGAGAAAGTTGCTTCACTTTTTTTTTTAATAAAGTTAACAGTTACAAAAAAGTCTAGAACAACATGATATGACTGAATTCAATATAGTGTGTTACTCAAACACTTCAACAAACAATCGCTTCGAATCTGACATCATATTTTCTTGTGACTCTTCAAAGTATTTTATTATGAAGAAATGATTACATTGATCGTCGTTCTTGTATCGATGAAAACGATCATCATTATTTTCAGCCCAGCAAATTTTTTCATCTTCTATCAGTCTCTGAGTTGAGTAGTAGCTTGAATTATCTAAT